GAAAAATGAAAACCCTTTCCACTACAGAAAACTTTAAAATGCACAGATGAACTATAGAAATACGGCCTCCCCTCAACGACCACTGCTTCCCACGCAGTGGGGAGTTCCCTGTGTGAGGCCCTGGTTCTCACCCTGGGGTTTCCTGTGTACGAAGTGCAGCCCAGGGAACACCGTCAGCAACACCGTGATGACCATGCACGGGGCCGGTGGGACTCGAAATACTGAGGGGAACGCCGGGGAAGTTATGTGATTGTCCAATCGCCACGCTGTACACCTGTAACAAAGACAAGTAATATTGAACATCAACTTCAATTGAAAAGTAAAATTAAAAATAAATATTAAAAGGTTACATATTCAATAATTCTGTATAAATATTATTATATTATATACGTGTATATGCATGTGTGTGTTCATTTCAGAAAGTTGCATTTGCATTTGTATCTTATGAGTTACTTTGAATGTTATGTCTAAAGTGTGTTATGACACAAGTAGTTTTCCATGTTGTAAACTCTGCATGATTTTATACCACTTTCCAAACTGCATATAATTTCAGACAACAGAACACAGTCAGACCCTTTCTTCATCCACCTGCTTTCACCTGTTCTTCCTGTAACTAATGATTGGATGAGTGTCACTATACATAAATATTCTTTGCCACTTGGAATATTTAAATTGATAGGCTACTCACATGGCCAGTATTAGGTCAAAGCATTTAGACATTTTTACGTCTCCTCACACATAGGGTCAAATTGCTTCTCTAAATCGCTGCACTGACATATCCATTCATTCAACACGGATTCATTGAGCCCCGCTGTGGGCTGGCGCCTGTGCTGGGGATGCAGTGGGGAGGACCCAGACAAGGCCCCTTGCTCACTGAACTAGCATTTCAGTGATCCTCACTGACTGTAAACAAATTTGTTCCAAGATCAGTGCTAACTGCTGTGGAGAAAAACATGTGTGGGCTGGAGTGGGGGTGCAGTGGGGGTGCGGGACGGCAGAGCATGTTCTTCTCAGCTTGTTGGACAGGACGTCTCTGGGGACTTGGCACCAAACACTTGAGCAGGGACCTGAGTGGTGTGAGGAGCAGCCACGTGGTCCCGGGGGAGGAGGGGCCCACAGGGGTCACAGCAGGGCAGGCGCCTGAGTGAGGACGGGGAGTGTCCAGGGGCCGGGTGAGGAGAGACCAGTGAGCCGGGCTGAAAGCCGTGGGAAGAGGCCGGGATAGTCAGAGGCCCCTGTCCCGAGGGGCTGGCAGGCAGCAGTGAGGGCGGGGAGCTCACTCTGCCCAAGGAGGGGGACACTGGGGTGTTCTGTGGGAGGTGGCGGTGAGGACAGGCCCTGATTCACAACGGGGAGGTCACTGTGTCTGTCACGTGGGTAACGGGCATGAGGGGCAGCAGGAGCCCAGCTGGAAGGCTACCTGTTTCCTGTTGTGAGAGGATGGTGCCCAGATGGGGTGTGGGCAGTGACTGGACTCGGGGTTGGTACAACCGAAGGCGGTGTTAGCAGTAATTCCCGGAGAACCACACCTGTACTCACTGACCTTAATTCCACGGTTGACTCCAGGTGGCTGGCTGCCACAAACCCAGAGTGAAATGCACAAATCATTTAAAAATCAACAGCAAGATAAATCTACATTTCAAAACATTATGCTCTCCCCATCCGTTCACTCTCCAGCTCTGCAGCTGCAGCTTCCTGGGGCCACTTTGCTGAGGAGCCCCTGGGAGGGGGACAGCGAGGACTCGAAGAGCCAGGATCACGGGGACTGAGGGGGGCAGGGATCGCTGTGGGGGGGACCCATTCCGCTCCTGAACCATGAGCTGGGGCACACTGACAATTAGAAAAACACACAGTGGGCCATTGATGTTTCTGAGAAATACGTCAAATTTGTAAAAGGAAAGAGCAAACATTGAACTCAGAATGTGAAGCAATTCAGGAATCTTTTGAAGAAATGCCTACCTGGAAAGGATTCCAGGGAGGAGGAAGAGTTCAGGTGCAGGGCAAGTAAAGCTTTCCTCTCCACGCTGCGGGCACAGATCTCTGGGAGCAGCTTGAACCACAGAGAAGACCAATCAAGCAGGACTGAGAGGAGGCTGACCCGCACAGGGGGCTCCGAGAGGGCGGTTTTACCCAGTGTGCGGCAAGAGTTTTTAAAACATGTGACAGCTGACTGTTCAGTCAGGACACTGACCTCTGTTCCCTTGGGCTGTCAAATTAAAAGTGACACCAGCCGACACAACACTAGCCATCTGGTGTGAGCGAATCAAAATTATACTCATTTTTTGTCAGATTGGCAAAAACAGAACATACTCTTTGGTGTGCCACAGAATTTTAAAAATTAGTGTATGTGTGCCGTGAGATGAAAAAGGTTGAAGATCGCTGGCTTGGAGTGTTCCCTCCCCAGGCACAGGCTGAGCGCTCAGCACATCCGACACCCAAAGGTGCCCCTGTGTCCCCGCTCCTTCGGGCCCCTGCCCCCGTCAGTTCCCGTGCTCCCCTCACACAACTCCCCCCCAAATCGTGTCCTGCATCTGGGACAGCCCCCCCATTTCCAGGGCGGGTGGAGGCTGAAGACCCAGATTCCGTGTCACTGACCCAGAAATAATCACCGCGGGGTCTGCGGAAAGTGAGCGCGTCCCGGAGCAAATCAACCCGGATCTGTGTAACCAAGTGCACTCATGGCTTCGTTCAGTCCTCATCACTCAGGGGCAAGGGCACGATTTTGTCTTCATTTCCTTGTCTGTTCAAGGTGCATCTGCAGGGGCCAGGGAGCCAGGCAGGGAGGAGGACGGGAGGCAGTGTGGGGCGGTGAGGACCTGACTCCTGGGCTCACCTCCCTCCCCTGTGGAAAGGGGAGAGGGAGGCGGGACAGCTGGATGCGCTCAGCCAACCAGACAACATGGGGAGGGGCATCTCAGGGGAAAGGAGGTGTGGGCCTCACCGGGAGCGGAGGTGGGAGAGCCGTCAGGACCCGCACGTGGGTGGGGGTAAGAGGAGGAGAGGTCGTGATCGCCTTCCTTAGTGGGGATGCTGGGAAATCTGTCCTCGAGTAGTTTTATCTGTAGTGACTTTTCTGAATGGATAATTATCTTTATAATCTCATGTTGATTCTTAGTATCTGAAGGAATTCACTTTATCATTGTCAAATAATATTATATTTATTTTATACCTTTGATAATTTTAGAGGAATTCTTTGATGCTTACAAACAGGTAAACAGAAGGCAAATATTTCGTTGTTTCATTTCTAATTATTGCTCTTTTTATTTCTTCTTCATATAAGAATATGCTAATATAAGGCACCTTAATTTAAATCTTATTTTAACAACAATTTCTCTAATCATTTCACATTAAGTGGCTCTTTCTTTTATCATCTCTGTTTTATTACAGAGGGGTTTGAAACTATAGTAAAGGGGAATAAGAACTACAGTAAGTTTCTCTGGTGTTTATTGTAAAAATACTAGAACATATATTGTTGGATTAAATAATGTGTCATTTTGAATAAAGAGCTTTTTGGTGTTCTGGACTAGCTTTGCATTATAATAATTAACATTTCTTTATACCTTGCTATGTGCAAAGCTCTGTTTCAGAGATTCACAAATACTGAGAATGATCCCAATGAGTTTCCCCAATTAACCAGTGCCATGGGCTCCTCAGTAATCTCCATTCTGCACAAGAGGAAAGGCATAGATGGTGAAATGACCTGTCCGAGGTCAGGAAGCCAGGAAGCAGCAGGCTTCACGGCTGAGAAATGTCACTCTAAACCCGTGTCTGACCACTTTACCAGAACACAGCCTTGTTCCTAATAGAAAACCCAGGTTAAATGATTGTGTATGCTTTTATTCATGCATCAATGTTTCACTTAAGTATTTAAAAACTTGTTGGAAATGATATTCTTTTCTCATTTTTCCTCTTAAGTTTGTATTCAGGAGAGTATATTTACCTCTTTTCAGGAACTATCTGTAAATTTGTTTGTTGGAGGTTATTTGGCATTAAAAAGTTACCCCCAAAATATACTGAACTGCAAAAAGAGATGGTCCTTGGTGACTTCACTGGTCTGTTCAAAAACTCTTAGGACTTTACGTTTCTGAGTCATTTCATATGGACACCCTCACTTCACCCTGACAGAGTTACTGAGAGGGCAGGGGCTACCATCCCCATTTCAGAAATGAAGAAACCATGGACCAGAAAGGACAAGGAATTTGCTGAAAGTTGCACACTTGGTTCCATGCCTTTTCTGGTATTGAAAGGCAGAGACCTTATCATTTATGTCCGTAGAGCTCTAAGATCCAACGGAGCACTGGAGGGGAGAAGGCGGGCACCCCTCACTCTGCACGACTGCGTGCAGCCCCAGGGTGGTCAGAGTTCTGTGGTGGGCAGTCTAACCCCCCAGGTTTTTTTTTAATCTGAGGACTTTTTTTCATTGCTTTTTAGAGAGTGGTGATGGGAGAAAAAAAAAGGGAGAGGGAGAAACATTGAAGAAAAAGAGAAACATCCACTGGCAGCCTCCCACCCAAACCAGGGATTGAACCCATGACCTTTTGACCACATGACGACGCTCCAACCAATTGAGCCGCACCAGCCAGGGCACCCCATGGCCCTTTAACACAGTGTGCAGGACTCGCTCATTCCCAGGACGCGGCCATGGTGGTGGGGGAGGCACTCACCATGGAGGTGGGTGACGTGCCTGGTGTCTGCACCACAGTGAGGAAAACATAGAACACAGACCCTCATGACTCACCCAGTCCATCAAAACCAGGATCCCCTTTCTCACACTGCTGTCAGTGAATCTTACACCTTGAAGGATCACACGCTTTACACCAACCCTCTGCCTGGAGAGTGACGACATCTCCTACTAATTGGTTCCTGTTTGGAACCCGGCCACACCCAGGGGTGCAGGAGGCTGCCCTGGCTCATCATCTCTACTGTTTCAGGGGAGGCCCGTGGAGTGAGAGCTGCTCTGACTGAGATTCTCGGGGCCCTGGCCTTTCCCAGGCTCCAGAATGGTGGTCCCGCAGGTCCCTGGGGGACCCTGGATGGCAGCTCTGATGATGTCCTTGGTGATGCTGAGCTCCCCTTTGGCTCAGGGCAGAGACTCCCCAGGTAAGGGCAGAGCTGCTGCTCTTCGAGTCCTGGCTCAGGGGAATGACCCCTGGGGCTTTCCCACGTGGGCCCCACCCACAGAGAGGCCCTGGGGGTCTGACATTGTCCAGGGCCATGATTCCCACCAGAGAGAGAAGGAGATTGTGTCTGTTGGACACAAGGGTACCTGGTGGTCTGGATGCATTTTGGAGGGACAAGGTTCTTACAGAGGCATCAAGATGATATCTCAATATCAGAGATCAGAAAGGGGAAGCCACAGTCACTCGGCTGTGTCCAAGGTCCCAGGACTGTGCTATGCAGCCAGGGCTCCAGGCGGAGGCCCTTCCACAGAACTGGGCGGGGCTCATCCCACGACCAGTCCAGAGGGGCCAGTGAGGACGAACTGAGGTTGAAGCCGACAGGACACCTACTGCAGCTGACAGTCACCATGTCAGGAAGCAGATCAGGGCATATCAGGACAGGGCCAGAGAGGAAGTGAGAAACAGGAAGTGGCCTCTTTTAGTTCCAATTTTCCACCAAGCCCATGCTTGATAGAACAGGGAACAGAATGGTGAAGGCGCTCATGTTAAAATTCCCAGCCTCTCCATCTCCACCCATGAAGCCAGCCCCACCTCTTCCTGAGAATCAGGTTCCCCCAGGCTTCTTCCCCAGTTTGCAGGATTAATAGCCTTTGAAACTTCACAATCCATCTGCCCAAACTCCATCCCATTGTACCCATGTCTCAGATAGAGGGAAGGGGAAGGTTTTCTGATGTTCATCACTCAGGTGGGCACAGAACTGGACCAGGGCAGCTCAGCTGTGCAGCCTGTGCCGGCCGGTGAGGGAAGAAGTGGAGGCGCTGGAGTCTCAGAGGGCAGGACGGCCTGTGGGAGCAGCTGGTGAGATGGGACGACACCCAGCAGGAGGCGAGAGGAGAGGGGGTGCACGGCGGGCCAGCCCAGGAGAAGCTCTTCTGGGAGCCGAGCCGAGGCGGTGGTGGCCGTTGATGTGAGTTCATTGATATCAGGCATGAGGCTTCTTTGGGGTGAAGAGTGAGCAGTGTGGTGGGTGGACATGGGGGAGACTTGTGGGTTCCAGTGAGTAAGAGGAATGAGATGAAGCCATAAAACTCCTAGAAGAAATCTCAGAGAAATAGCTCTTTGACACTGATCTGGCTGTGACTGTTTGGATAGTACACCAAAAACATATGCAACAAAAGAAAAAATAGACAAATGGAACTGCATCAATCTAGAAAAAAAACAATCAACATAGTGAAAAGGAATGCTATGGAAACAGGAGAAAATATATTTGCAAGTCATATATTGGATAAGAGATTGATATCCAAAATATAGAAGGAGCTCGTACAACTCAATAACAACAACAACAAAATAATAAATATCAGCAAAGGACCCAAATAGACATTTTCCAAAGAAGAAATACAAATGGCCAACAGGTATATGCAAAGGTGTTCAACTTTCCTAGTTACCATGGAAATGCAACTGAAAACCACAGTGAGAGACCACTGAATGGCTGAATGGCTGTTATCAAAAGACGGAGGACAGCAAGTGGTCGTGAGGACGTAGAGAAAGGGAACCCTCGTGCGCTGTTGGTGGGAATGTATATTAGCAGGGCCCTTGTGGAAACCAGTAGAGATTCCTCAAAAAGTAACAACGGAGCTGCCATACAATCCGGTAGCCCCACTCCTGAGTGTGTGCATCAAAGGAAACGAAGTCTGGGTTTGAAGAGATACCTGCACTTCTGTGCTCGTTTCAACGTTCTTCACGATAGTCAGCATACACACACAACCTAAATGTCCACAGACTGCTGGACAGGTAAAGAAAATGTGCATTACACAGTGAAATACTATTCAGCCTTTTAAAAGAGGGGAATCCTGCCGTTTGTGAGAATGTGGATAATCGTGGAGGACGTTATGTTCAGTAAAGTCAGCCAGATGTAGAAGGACAAACACAGCACGAACTCTGACCCAGTGGAACTGACAGAAATAGCGAGCAGGGGGGAGTGGTGACGGCTGAGGCCGGTGGGAGGGGGACGGGAGGTACTGGTCCAGGAGGAGGAAGGTTACCTCCCGCACACGAGTGGGTCCTGGAGCACCGTGCACAGCAGCGCGGCTGTACCGACAGGACTGTGCTGTGCACTTAAAAGTTAAGAGTGGACTGTGGGCGCTCTCAGCACACACAGGCAGAGACAAGAAGGAAACAGCTGTGTGAAGGGAGGGACGCGCTGACGGTCTTGGCTGTGCTGAGAGACTGTAGCACCACACACCTCACAACGCGCCGGGTGTCAGGCCGTCCGGTTGCACACCGTAAACATGTGCAGTTTCTGGTTGTCAGACACACCTCGGAAAGCTGGAAACATTTTTTAAAAAGTAAAATCAGTTCTCTGCTCACTCTTTGATTCATAAGACTAAGGCTTATGTTAGGTGCTGTAAAAGAATAAAAATTAAAAAATAACTTGCCTTAAAATGTCCAAGTGCAGAGAATAAGACAGACATGGGAAAAGTCACATTGTCTCCATGTCCCCAGTGTCCCCACTGTGATGAGGTTTAAAGGCGCCCAGACAGAGAACACACCCACCCATTCTAATGGTTTCCCGCATAGTTTTTGCCTGTATGCACTCTTTCAGGATACGTATTTTTCATTTGCCTGCATTTTTAGTGTGACTAGTAACGTTGTGAAGTATACAGTTTCCTTTCTGTCCTGCTCAGCGTAACGTGTTTAAGGTCTGACCACGTGGTGAGGAGCACAGTCACCCGGTTCCTCCTGAGGCTGCCTAACCGCCCACCGCGCACGCCGACTGCGGTGCAGGTACTTACCATCCCGGTGGCGATCAAATCGATGGTCACCGCCAACTCCTCAGTTTAAAAGTAACGCCACAGCCAGCGGCAGCCCCGACCTGCCCCTTTCCGGACCCGTGTGCACACTTTTGCTGTGTGACAAGGTGTGCAGGTGCTGGGTCACACACGTCCACCTACTCCACCTGACCAAGTGTCCCCTGCGCGCGTCCTGCCCGTGCGCGGTGGTCCGCACTCCACCAGCAGCTCAGGGAGGTTTCCCCTCCCGCCCGGCGCTCTAACTCCTCAGAGTCTCACAGATCTCCGTCTCTCTACCTCCTTACCGTGCGGTTTTCTCTCCACCGGGGAATGGAAGTTAGTCTTGCACGTTTACTCTCCCGTTCATTCCCGTTCCCGCACTTGATCCACTTTCCTGTTACAGTTCTTTATTTTGTTTGTTCATTAAAGAGCTGCTTGTATGTTTTAGATGTTAGTCCCATCTCCATTTTAGATACTGTGAGTCTACTTCTATTCCCTATTGACTTATTAGTGATACCCTTTGCTTAACAAAGTATTTTTTGTCAAAAATTTTATTTTTTATTCATTTTTATTGTTTTTGAAATTATTATTATTTTTATTGTTGTTCAAGTAGAGTTGTCTCCATTTTCCCCCACCACTCCCCCCACCCCAGCCATCCTGACCTCCCACCCTTGATCCTTACCCCCTTTTGGTTTTGTCCATGTGTCCTTTATACATGTTCCTGAAAACCCTTCCCCCTCTTATTAAATTTTAATGTCATCCATTTTGTTATATCTTTGCCTTGTGTTCTTTTCAACATTTTAATATATTTTTTATGTCTTGTGTTCTTATATTTGCTTAAGAAATGATTCCTTGCGCCCATGTTCATAATTATATTCTCTTATATATCCTTACATTTATCTTACAATTTACGATTCCTATTTACATCTTTAATCCTTCCAGGGTCCAGGTGTTTATGTTAGGTACAGATCTAGGTATTTTTCCCTCCACATCTAAGCCAGTGTTTCCAACCCATCTGCTAACTAACTTTCTCTCCCCATCGGCTGAGGGGCTTCTTTGTTGTGGTCAGGTCCCGTGGATCCACAAACTGAACCCCCTACTCTGTGCCGATCCTTCCTGACCTCACTGTGCGGGCTTTCCGAGAGGTCACGTCATAGGAGGCGCCACGGCACATCAGCTCCAGGCCCTGGTCAGAGCGGGAAAAGTGGAAGAGTTCAAGTGAGCGCCTCCATTTCCAGTTTGCTGAACCTGACGGGTGGCGGTGCTCGCTCAGCCAGGGAGCCCTGGAACAGAACAAATGCAGGGGGAGGGTAAGGAGCTCGAGCTCAGTCTGCAAGCAGATGGGAAGCAGGGTGTGCGGCTGCGCACAGAGAGCGCCGCAGGCAGACGAGGAGTGACAGGGGTGGGGAGAGAGAACTTGGGAACGTTTCCCAGAGAACGTGATGCCCGGCCTGGTGCTGAAGGGTAAGATGGAGCTGGGCATTTTTGGTTTGAGCATCAGGACCACAATGTATTTTTACTTTGCACTTTCATTTATTTCTATTTGGATAATATGCAAATATTATGCAATGTGAAGTAAGCAACACAAAAAGGCAAACAAATCACAAAAATAAGAGGGGGGACCCAAAAAACCAGAATTTATATATAAAAAATTATGTATTTATTCTTACATGTAAACTGCATTTACTTCCAAGTACTCTACATTTGATGCAATGCACCTATGGAGATGTTTTTCCTACTACTCAAGTCAGTTTTTAAACTCATTGATTTTGATGCCTTTTAGTGCCTGTGCTGATTTTTGTTTCACCTCGTCCATGTCAGCAAAACGCTTCCCTTTGAGGACTTTTTTCATAGAGGAAACAAAAAAACGTTGCTCAGGTCAGGTGAATACGGAGGGTGGGGCATGGGGGTCATGCCCTTTTTGGTCATAAACTGCTGAACACTCAGCACAGTGTGGGCAGGTGCACTTGTAAATCACCCATCATGAAACGGGCAAGTGTATTGAGTCTTCCAAAACAATTCACTGAAGCCAAATGCAGCCTCTCACAACAACACCAGCTGGTACATGATACAGATGGGTTCCTAGAACATTCACCTACCATGAAAAGCCTATACTACAGGGGCCCACCCTCCAGAAGAAAACTCCACTTTGGGGAGGGGGTTGTTCACCCTGGTAAAACCATAAAATGACTGGGTGGAACGGCAGAGGGGCAGGAGTGGAACCGGGTCAGGTGAGCACAGTCAGATCATAAAGACCCTTGCTGGTCACGTTGGAAGACAGGTCATCACACTGAGGCACGTGTGACTTTAAGTCCGAGGGCAAACTGGAGGAGGCAACAATGAGGCCGGGAGAAGGGTTAAGGGGCCACCAAATTAATCCAGGTTGGGAGTGAGGGCAGTCTGAGTTAACTGTCCCAGGGGGCAGGAGGGACAGGAGACCAATAACAGTCTCATTATCTGATCAGAGGTGGAGAGTGAGGAGGAGAGTGGGTTCCGGGTGACTGAGAATTCTCAGCTGGAGGACAGGTGGTTGGCAACACCACTCACCAAGGCCTGGGAGGGAAACAGGTGGAGGGAGGGAGCGTGGGTTTCGTCCACACGGGCTGATGTTGAGGCTCCTGTGGGGTGTCCATCTGGAGGCATCCAGGGGCCGTGTGGGAGACGCATGCAGGACTCAGAAGAGAGGACAGGGTGGAAGTGTGCCCGTGGGGGCTACTAATCACGGTGACCATTAGGGAATGACATGAGGGGAATAACCCTCATTGAGGACATCCGGAACAGAGTCAGGAACATGGCACCAGGACACACCGATGTTTCAGGGGAGTGTAGGCAGGTCATAAGATGTGCTCGGCATTGGCCCTTGTTCCAGTTTGGGGACAGTGAGGGGTGGGGAGTGAGCACTTTAAATTGTGTGAGTTTGGGAAGGGAAGGGTCAGGGAGGGAGTGGACCTGGCAGATGCCCGAGCAGTGGGCGGCAGCGGACCAGAATGCAGTGGGACAGAACGCTCTCGTTCCGAGTCCTCACTCCTGGTTCGTGAATAAACGCCTGGACGTGATCACAGCTGTTGTCACCTGAGCCCGTGCTGTGCTGTAGGCCAATGTCACAGCTTCCCTTCTGGTCTGTTAACCCACACGGTGTTGTCAGGGAAACATCACTGTCCCCATTTTAGTACAAGGACCCTGTGTCTCACTGAGGTCACACAGCTGCTATGTCACTGAGGTGGAAGAGGAGCGGGGCCCTCTCCACCCAGAGGCCATGACCTTCAACAGCACACTTACTGGTCTCGGCACTGTAAGTGGGAAGAAGCCGTCCTTCCCCTCCCTAGTTCAGATAGACTTTGCTTCATAATCTCCTTTTCTTTGTTCCAGTCTGTGCCCTCACCCCTCACGACTTCTTGCCTGTTGTGGAAACACCCAGCCCACGCCCCACACTCCCCCTGGACATTCCTGCTGCACAGGTCAGATGACGCCTAGTCCCTGCAGGAAAAACCCCTGGACCCCTCAGCACAGACAGCCGGCAGCACCACTGCCCGCCTGCCCTGTCGCTGTCACCTCAGTCACCCCTCTTCCCTTCCCTGGGGCTCCTTCCTGTCTCTGGGCACCTCTGCCAGAGCGCTCTCGCCCTCTGCTCCTCGCTAGACCCAGATGCTCGGCTGCTCCCTGCACATCTGCCTGGGCCTCCAGTGCTCAGCCAACTGCAGACCCACCTCCTGTGCCCCTGCACCGGCTCCCAGGCCTCCAAGAACCCGCCTGTCTCTGCGGCCACAGTGTGTCCCCTGAGGCAGGGCTCTTTATTACCAATGCTGGAGACAACCTCAGAGATTGTTTAGTTAAATCCCCCATTTATTGGGGAAGAAAACTTTGGTCCAAGGAGGGTCATGATTTATCTAATATCTAATGATTGGGTGTGAGAAAAATGTGTATTTTCTCATTTAACCATGTCAGGTGACAGGAGTAAAGAAAATATGTTTACATCAGCAGCCAAAAGATGATATTGTAGTAGTGTGTTGATTTATTGAGGGTTACAAAGAGATCAGAGGTGACATGGAGAGACAGAGAAAACACTGAGGGTGTGATGAACACACGGCATCTATTTCAGCCAAGCTCCAGGCCCTGGGTCTGAGGGCAGAGTGACCCTCTGAGTTCTGTAGTGGACACTCTGCCGGAAGGACAATGGGGACCCAGGAGAAATGGCAAAGACAGGAATGCGGGGCCCTGGCTGCGCTGCTCAGCAAACAGTGAAGGGCCCACACAGGGACCTGGGCAGTGGGTCCCGAAGGCGTTGTGGCCTCTCCAGCTCAGCCCTGCCTGGTCTGTTACCCGCACACAGAGCTGTGTGAGCCAGAGGAGGAGCGATTGCTGTGCGAGCCAGAGGAGGAGCGACTGCTGTGCGTTCAATGGGATGCACTGCTTCTCAGAGCGACACATTTACAACAGAGATGTGTGCATCCAGTTTGACAGAGCCGTGGGGGTGTCTGTGGCTGTGACTGAGCTCGGGCGCACAACTGCCAGGAATTGGAACCTCCAGGGGAGTTCCTGGAGCTGAGGAAGAGCGCCGTGGACACAGTGTGCAGACACAACTTCGAGCTGGACGAGGGTTTCACCCTGACGTGCAGAGGTGAGTGGCAGGTGGGAAAGAGGAGACCCCGGAAGGGCTGGGCTTGGGCAGCAGAGGAGGGGAGGGGCCTCCTCCCATCTCCAGGCCCCAGAGGGTCCCAGGCTGGGGGGCCTGGACCCAAGGGCTTCATGGTACGCAGGGGCCAGACCACCTGGGAAAGACCCAGACTCCCTGCTAACCCAGCACAAAAGAGCTGAGGACATTGGGTTTGTAGATCTTGCTGCAAACTTTTTTTGGTGGAGATGACCAGGAGACATGCAGGTAAAATGAAGAACGAATCAGGGGGCTCTGTTCTTCACCCTTTTTGACAAGGACGTCAGACTGAGAGACCAAAGGAATGCTACTGACTATCAAATACATTCCGATTCCAAGATAATATTTGGAAGGATTATGCATCCTTTTGAACAAGACAGGAAAATGTACATTTAGGTAATTTCATAGCTGGTTCAACATTTCTGTTCAAAGAACATTAGTGACTACCTCGACCATTTCTGGTGGAAGTGTTACGGAATGCCAGCTGTGACCCTCTCCTGTTCTTCCTGCTCTCTCTGCACTGTTTATGGCAAGGTCATTCTTGGAACATCTGAACATTTTATTCTGCTTTTCCTGAACTATTCCCCAGCTTCTGCCTCTGAATGGTTTAACAGACAATATATCCATCTCTAACATCTAGAAGTCAAATTGGCAAGAAAGTCACTAAATGCACTGCATTAACTGTCTCAGTTCTCCTAATAAGATTCTCCTTCCTACTCCTAGTCCAGTCTAAAGTGAATGTGTCCCCCTCTAAGAAGGCGCCCCTACAGCACCCCAACCTGCTTGTCTGCCACGTGATGGATTTCTATCCTGGGATCATTCAAGTCCACTGGTTCCTAAATGGACAGGAGGAAACAGCTGGGGTTGTGACCACCAACCCGATCCATAATGGAGACTGGACCTTCCAGATCCTGGTGATGCTGGAGATGACCCCACAGAGGGGAGACGTCTACACCTGCCTAGTGGAGCACACCAGCTTGGACAGACGTGTCACTGTGCAGTGGAGTAAGTTATCTCCCGATGACCCTCTGTGCTCCAGGCTCAGAATCCACTCACTACCCCTCGGGGCCACACCACCCCGTGTGTCCTCATCAACTCCCTGTGGTCTAGGCTGGGAGCAGCAGGGATCTGGTGACTCTAGGGTGCACTTATCCCTGCTCTGGGGGACCCTAAACTATCTCTCCTTGTCAGAAAATCCCAGAAAAGCAATCACCTTCATGACTGGCCCTCACACTGGGACCTGGCCTCTCCCTTCTGCCTTCCTCCAGTCCCTTGTGCTGGGACTCAATGGGTTGACCTGAAACCAGCATTTGCCTCTTGTGGGTGTCATCAGTCTGAGACCCAGAACACTGGGTGCGTCCACACCTGCTCCTCCCCCACAGTGGTTCCACGCTTGGCACTGCCCTCCCCTTTGTCTCCACGGTGCACCAGCTCAGGCTCCAGGTGTCGGGCAGAGCCAGGGACTGCAGCAGGTGGGGGTGGGACTGACCCTGGGTCTGTCCTTCCAGGGGCTCAGTCAGATTCTGCCCGGAGCAAGATGCTGACGGGAATCGGGGGCTCAGTGCTGGGGCTCATCACCTTCATGGTGAGTTTCATTCTCCATGTCAGAGGCCGGCAAGGTAAGAAACTTCTGGAAAGTGGTAAATATTGCCTTTCCACTGTCTCACTCAGTGATGAAGTTGAGACAGAAAAGCAAAGTGACAGAGCAAATGAGGCCACAGAGATGAGATTCTGGTCAGGCGATGGCAGCTGTGGAGGGAAGAAGATGCCTAGACTGAGACCTTGGCCCAGAGACATACCTGAGACTGTGAGCAGGGACCCCAGGCTGCAGGGTGTCCTTTTAAGCCTGGGGTCAGCTTAAGTCTAAGCTTGTCTCTGCTTTCATTGGTTTCTGCTTTCATTCCCAGTGTGTGGGCATCGGATGCAAAGGTTTGTATAACTTTCCAAGATGATGCTGCTCCTCACTCCCTCAATTACTAAATCCAACTTCTCTTTCACTTTCATTTCAGGACGACAAGGTCCTCAGCCAACAGGTGGTATATCTGCTCCCTTCTCCCTTCTGGGGTGCGGTTCGTTTCACCGCAGCATGCATTGGGAGCACTGAATGAGTACTCTGTGTTCAGGGTGCACCATGGGAAGTGCCCTGGGGAGCAGGGGAAACTCTCAGAGGCTGACCCTCTTGCTCGGGTTGAGCCAATGGTCCATCTCCCCCTTCGGGTGGGTCTAAGCAGTGAGCTTCACCCCATTGCTCAAAGAAACGCCAGAAACTCTCTTCCATCGTTCATCAGACCAACACGCAGCCTCTGCCTACAATTTGTTCTCTCCTGGGACTCCAGAGGGAAAGGAAGTGGAGCCTCTGAGCTTGGGTTGTCTTCATTCTTCTTCCTCACGGGGCTGCCGAACTGACCACCAACATCACCTGCAGCCTCGGAACAAGCGTTCCTGGTCCTTCTGCTGCCCAGCAACCTCCTACCTCCAAAAAGGGCATTATGACAGAATTGTGCCCTTGACACCCATTTTAGAGCATTTTTCTGCATTTTAATTCAGTGCACTTCCTTTTTCTCAAGCTCTCCAATCTACAGATGCCCTTTCCTGAGGGACAAGACCACCTGAATTCAACATCATGGTTCTCCTCTCTTCCCGACAGGAGGGACACAGTCACGTGGCCATGTTTAGGCTTGGAGGGTTTGGCGACCAGTGAAGAGCCTGGGGATGTCGTTGTTATTTTAGCCAGGCCTGGGGAAGTAAACTTCCTGATGGCGATCACTTCTCCGTATTGAAGAGGAGGACAGCTGGTAGAAGACCTCCTAAAATGTGCTTTCTCTCATTGTGGTTGCCCAAGTTCATGTTGCAGCCTTACCTGGGAGGAGGGGAACTGTCACTCTTGCAGTCCCAGATGAACCCACACTGAGCATGAATTTGCCACTGAAATTCACACAGGACAGAGAAGCATGTCAGTCACTAAGAATGTGCTGAGATTTTTCCACGTGTAACAATCATCAGAAGATCAGGGTGACAGGTAACAGGCACGAGAGCGTCGCAGGTCACACTCTTTATGCTGCTGTTTGAACCGACTGTGGTGGCGGCCTCACCCCATGACTCTGGGTCCAACGGATTGCCCTGACCTCCCTCCCTTCTGCCTCAGTCGGAGGAGAGTCCATCTCCAGTTTCCACAGGGCCAAAGGCACGTGCATCTCAGTCTTTCTACACAGGTCCGGTTTAGAACACAGTTCACTAGGATGTTTGTAAATCATGTTAATGGATGTTTGAGACCAAGCAGAAGTACTATTTACTTTAGCCATTTCATGTCATGGCCGCCTCAATCCAAACTCCACACAGCAGGGGTCAGAGAGCCTTCAGTCCCTGCAGTGCACACATCACCGTCACCTGTCACACAGAGGTCGGCCTTGACCAAGTTTCAGGTTTCCTTTCTTCACTGAGTTTCTTGCATTGACTTATGGTAGATCACTCTAATGAGATATGTTTATACATTACGACTAGAAGTTGGATTTGGTCATTTTAAATATTATGAGGTACCAGATCCCATAAGGGGCTATGTTGGTGTCTCCAAAGTCACCCAGGTCAGATGGTTCACTGGGACTCACAGGCCCCATCACACAGTTGTACTCACAGCTCTGATTATTAGAACAAAAGGTTACAGGGCGAAGTCAGCGAGGGGAAAAGGCACGTGGGGTGAAGCCCGGAAAACCGACCTGAGCTCCCAAGGGTCTCTCTCCCATTGGAGCCACAGGACGCACTGAACTCCCCCAGCGGTGAGTTGTGGCCACACAGGAAGCACTGACCCTGGGAAAGCTCAGCAAAGACTGGGCTCCAAGGGGATTTCTTGGGGGCTGGTCACGTGGGCGCCCTCTGCTGGCACAGATGAGAATTCCAGATGCCCAGAGGTGTCAGCATAAACCATAACGTTTGTACACACAGTTTAGGGACATTCTCACCAGTCCTGCAAATGATGGGAACCCTCTCCAAGTCCAAGTTCCTGGCTGCCAGCCAGGGGCCAACCTTGTAAGCAGGTCTCTCACGGGACGGCACTCAGACCGGCCAGGTTCATGCTTTTCTGCGCGTGCGCAAACCATCCATGTTGTTGACAATTTTCAAGATAATGTGAACATCTATTGTTATCAAAGCAAGTCACATATTGATACAGAAAACACTCTTAAATCCTAGTTTTCTGGAAACATTGGTTATTACAGAGGACAGAGCTAAATTCACATAATTTGTTATTATTATATTATGTGAAATTATTATTACAAATGTTTTATGAATCCTATTAGCATTTAAGCAGTTTTTGAAAAGCTGAAGTTACAAACCAAGGATGCAGATGAAAGTATTCTATTGTATGAAATTTTTGTTTTTTGCTCTCTGCGACGAGAAACCAAACGTGCTTTCTCTTCTGTGATATTTGTAGTTGAGAACCAGTGCCCCAAATGAGGAAGAGAAGGTGGAATTTGACGTGTCCACTGTCAATCATCTTGGTGAAAGGAGAGGGGCAGTCCCTCTGCCCAGAGAATCTCCCGCCCGGACTCTGACTGTGAAGGAGCCGCACTGTGGGAGCTGTCTGCAATGAGAGCGGCTCGGGGTTTGGGGTTTGAGAAGTAAACAAACCCGTCAGCAGAGGGCTGAGAAGCCAGAGTTTATAATGCCCGATAGTTAATGTAATATTATCTTGAGTAATAAGCAAAAGGGACTCAGATTAAAAACCATTTTGAAGTCCTGCACAAGGGCCAGTGAAAGACGTTTCCACGTTCCCCCCTCTCCCCTCGCCGGCTGGCGCAATGGGAGGGGCTGTGTGCGTAGTAGTCCAGAAACTGAGGAGCAGCCCAAAGCCACGCCCCAGGGGAACGGGAAGGAGCGCCCCAAGCTGTCTCAGGAGCAGACGGTGGAGGCCCCAAGCTCCTCCAAGGAGTCCCGGGAGATCCAGGTGCTGAGGTGCTGCCCCCACCTCTGGGGAGACAGTTCCTGTCACAGCCTGCAGCCTGTGGACATTGGCACTCAGACTGACGTCACCTTCAAGCTGTGCCCGCCCACCACGCCCAGGGTCACCCTGGAGCCTCCGTCCTGTCTGAGCTACCCCTTCAGCCGTGAGTGTTAGGACCCAGCGGAGTTCAGCGAGAGCGGCCAGCAGGAGGAAGACTGAGTACCAGCAGGAGTATGAGGAGGGAGCTGCACAAAGCCAGCCACCTGGATGGGCTGGTCCCCATGGTTTGCTGCCACACAGACAGTGCGGAGGACCTGGGCATCGGTGCTGGGAGGTGAATCCTGGCAGCACTGCTGCCAAAGACAACATCGGAGAGAGAGACGGAATCATCCAGGTACACCATGTGGACACCCAGAACCGGGAGGAGGCCATGGCCTTGCTGAGCCAGGGGGAGAACACCAACATCTCCCTGCTGGTGGCCCGGCCTGAGAGCCAGGTGGCAAAGTGATGGAAGGACAGTGACCGGATGACTTCCTGGATGATTTGAACTGAGAGAGTGAGGGAGACCTGCATGTTTGGAATTTGAAGTCACCCCTGCCCAGCAGCTCAGAAATGAACAGAAGAAAGGGCCCCCTCCAATGCAAGCCCAGGAATCACCAACAGCCAGGAGCCAGACAGTGGGGTGGGCCTGACTGAGGGAGAGCATCCGCAAGGGGAGAGCTCTGAGCATGACCTGCTGGGGGACGAGCCCCAGAGAGCCACCAACACACTTGGGACCCTGCACAACTTTGGCCTGCAAGGGAACACCCTGCAGAGTAGGGACTCCCACTTCAGCCTGGACTCCCTGCTGGCTGGGAGGGCGGGGCTGGGGGTAGGGAACGCCCTGGCCTCACCTACCAGGAGTACCAGCACTACTGGGAGCTGCTGGAGATCAAGTGCCACCTGGAGAACTGCAACCAGTCCAGTCAGGCCTTCTCTTCCCCCTGTGCCTCCTATGGCAACAGCGCCCAGGACGCACCCGCAATGAGAGCCTGCGCCATGAGATGGCCACACTGGAGCAGGAGCTAAGGCAGCTGGAATTCCAGTGCCACAACCTCCTACCGCTGGAGAAGAGGAGAACACGCTGCAGCTGCAGGAATGCTACCTGAAGGCCTGACTACCTGAGGAGGAGAGCCTCTGTAAGCGGGAGGGGTGGAGGCCAAAGGGGTGAGTGGGTGGCAAGCCCAAGAAGCATGAGCTGTCCGACATCTCTGAGCTGCCTGAGAAGTCTGACATGGACAGCACCAATGCCCACAACACGGCGGAGAGCTGCCTCAGCACCCCACTGCTCACCAAGGCCCTGCCACAGAGCCCCCTGAGGCTGCCGCTGCTGGCAACTCCAGTTTTAACCACACCCCCTCCAGCCCCCTGTCGCCACACACCACGAGGCAGCTCCTCCACAGGGGAGCTCCACCAAGTTCTGATCCCTCTTCCTGGATCCCGAGGTGGGCTGGAAACAGCATTCAGAGGACTGTGACCATGGCCCCAAGACAGGGGTGACCCTGGCCCCAAGGTCAGCCCTTACCTCTCTAGGCACCACAGAGACCAGGGCCAGGAGAACAAGCACTGCCACAGCTGTGTGCAGCGGGCAGGGCCATGGCCTAGAGGATCTGGGTCATGGCCACTTGAGTTTAGCCATTGGCCCTCGGGTGGGCAGACCGCCACGCACCAAGTGGACAGTCAGGGTACGCAGTGATGGAACCTGCTATGTGGCCAAGCAGCCTGGGCATGATCACCTCCAAAGAGTCCCAGCACTGAAGATCCAGGCGAAACACAGTGGCAGGACCACCGAGGACGATTCAAGGAGCAAGATGAGAATAGGCGGCTCCTGGAGGAAGGAGAAGGGAAGGCAGCACCTGATCCGGCCTGGGAGCTGCAGGAGCAGCGTGAGTGTCCAATACAGAGTCAGCTGCCGGGCCTGAGGGAGCAACAAACTGCGACAGCAAGGCTGAGCTCCACATCATTGCCTTGAGCCACTGCAAAACTATGAAGGACTGGAACAAGAAGATTCTAGACAGCTGGATCACCATCCAGTTGCTTTATTGTCATGCTGTCTCGTGGCACTCGCTAGGCTGACAGCAAGCGCATCTACAACCCTCTGCTCCCAGCCACCGTCTGGCCCACCCAGATGGGAGCCCACTGCATTCCAGGCAGCCCTCCACCCAGCCCAGGTCCAGTGAGCCTCAGGGGACCCCACCCCCTACTCTTCCTGAGAATCTAGTATGTGTGCGCACCTGTCTTCATGTGTGCGCGAGAGCACAGGATTGTGTTACTAGAGAGAAGCCCCTGAGGAGCAGGGGCACCCCTTCAGTTGTGTGCACGTGTGTGCAACACCAGCCCAGGCAGTGTAGGTGCACATACCTTGCACACCCCTCCAGGGCTCTCTCAGTGGGGGTTCTTGGGGACAGGGAAGTTGACCTGAAAAGGAGGCGAACAGGATTGTCCTCAGCTCCAGAGAATGTCGAGCTACCGAGCTGAGCAGACTCTCCCCTGCTGGGAACCTCCATGATTTGTAGAC